TAAAAATAATTCTCACACATCTCGTTATAACCAAAACCTAACGACGAGCAAACTAAAATACCTTAATTACTTTATACTTGGATACCAGTTGAAGCTTAAATTATTTAAAATTTAAACCCCTATTACAGTTATTAATTGCCAAGTTTCTTCGGTTACAGTTTATTAATGTGTCTGCCGCAAAAAAATCGAACGTTTGGCGTTGAACGCGTAACCTTCATTGTTTTTTTTTTATAAATAGGAAACAGCGAGACCATTTCGGCCTTGATTGGTGCGCCAACTGAGATCCACGCTCTGCATACAAAGCCAACGCTGTTGTGGAATGAGTCAGTTGGTGATGCAAACAAATTGTTATCGGCCGTTTCCTTCAGTAGCGAGACTCATTGCTCAATGAAATCACCGCCCACTTACGTGTTTCTTTCCATATATAATACCCTATTATAAACGCAAAAATCTGAAAAAATGCTAGATTGCATCAAAAACAGGAGATCCTAAATAAGCTTGAGCACTTGCAAAATCTATGTATACGCTTTATCGTTGGACTTCGTAAATTTGATCACGTCGCTCATCATCGCAAGGATCTCAAGTGGCTCCCCATAGGATTTCGAAGGAACACTAGGATTTTATGCCTGCTCTTTAATATCCTGCATTGCCCTACTTTGCCATCTTACCTGCGCGGCCTCTCGACCAGGGCTTTTGTACAAATCCTTCATGTATTTACGTTTCTGTCATAATTCTCTGTGTACATAAATTATAAATAAATTAAAAAATGAGTTTTGGATTTTACATGTGAGAAGGTCGACCAAATGACAAGTAGTTAAAGCACCTTGGGGTAGTGGCGTTTGGGTTCGATTTCCTTGAAAATGTTTTCATTGAATATTTAATATTAATAATTTTTACAAAAGAAAATTATGTTTATTAGCTACTCAAAGTAAACGCTTTTTGTGCAAAAATGTGTCCCGAAATATTTTTAATAATACTTCCTCTTCAAGCCGCTCTCGGCGTATTATTGCCTCTATTTTAAGAAAGTCTTTGTTAAGTGATTGTACCAATTTTTCTGTTGATGACGGACGCATGCACAAACACACACAATTATGTGGAATTAAATATAGAGCAATTTTCTATATCCATACACAGCTAAAAGATTAGGCGAAATTTTAGAAATATTCTTACAATTTCTACTCAGAATTCCTAACCATATTAATATTAAATTTGAGTGACGGGATATAAGTACTTAACTCTCGCGGGAAGGGCGTAAGGAGGATGGCTCTAATGAACGTCTACTAATATGATGTAATTAGGCCATACTGGTTAGACGTAAAATTACTTCAGAACAGCGGGACTAAATTGGAACAACATTGAAGCAGATGATAGACTATCAAGAAGAAATAAATTCGATTAATTCTGACGCAACTTTGTCTGTTAGTTAGTTTGTTGGGAAGCCGAAAAACACGCACGCATGTTTTCCGTAAATACATTATACATAATACATTTTTTTTTTTCGGCAACAAAAACTAAAAAATATCTCCCTCTGTAGTGTCGATGCTTCCTTAAGATTATTATTACACAGCGACACAGAATCATGACGGGCGGTCAATATATGGACGCATTACGGTCACTATTGTGCGACACGATAAACTTCCAATCTAGGGTAATTTATTAGTGCAGGTTACATGGCATTGAACCACTGCGCTTATGTTATAATGTCGACCTATGCTACTAATGTATTACTAAGAAATAAAACAATATGTACAAAGTATAGGACGTACATAATAATTTAGAAACACATCAAAATATAATCATTTTTACCTGATTATAGTTATATTTATAATCAAATTGTAGACTTCCTCATTACAATCATTTGATGTAGTTTATACACACAATTACAGTTAACGTTATTAATTTCACTAGCTTTGAATGTTCTTGTTATAAGTGGGTAGTAAATATATGGCAAAACTTGATGTTGGCAAAGGCGCTAACTTATGAGTACAAAACCATACTGCAATGAAACTAAACAGTGACATTTCACATTGATTAAATTTTGAAGTAATTCGTGTAGGTACCTACTTCAATATTCCATGTCTTATGAACCAAAACAGAGTAAGCAGAACAAGCATTATTATTAATAAGTTACCGTTTTCGTAAAAATATCCTGTCGCTCATCTATAGTTCATTTACGATTAACATAAATCATAAATGCAATAAAATTACACATTAACACATGCTGTGTTCGTAAACTGGCAACCCTATAACCCTATAATGGACTCTTTTGGTCTTCGGAATTGTGACGTCAGACTAAATTAAAGAAAATTAACTAAAGTTAATTTCAGTATATCTATTTACGATTTATGCACAAGGAAAATAATATTATTTGAAAGAAAGAAAGAAAGAAAATCCATTTATTTACCAAAAAAGGACGCACACAATAAAAGAGAAAAAAAAAACTAAAATTAACAAAAAATAAAAGAAATAAAAAAATACTTATAAATAATTCACTAAAGCCAAATTAAAGCATAATTAAAATATGTAACAAATGATAAAGATCTTTAAGATCATCTATCTAATATAAATAACAGGAAACATTTCCACTTAAAATGCATTGGAGTTTGGGAAGTACCCGTTAGTAGACATCAAACAAAGTTTATCTTAATGAACTTCGGACATAAGTTAATTTATTGGTATCCTAATTTACCATTACAATGATAACATGCAACTTGTACATGGGTATATTCTAGATGACTTTTCCACGATCATTTATCAAATGTAATCAATATTAGAGTTTAAGTATTTTTACAGATTCATTTCCAATACATATATCTTCTCATCGATTAACGGTTCTTGGAGCTATACCAGCCCATTGATGCGTCAGCTTACAGCTTAAAGATCTAAGGGAATGAAAGGTTCACAGGTAGTGTAAAACAACCCCCCACTATACGGAATGACGACCAGTGCAAATATACGCAAAATCGATAGATGCAAGAGCTTCGTGGCTTTCTGGATTTGTTTTTTTTTTCCAAGGATTTTGTTGTAAAAACGTATACATTGTCCCATAAAAAGATAACTTATTGTGCGCAGTCTAATTATGGGTAGAATTAATTTGTTTGTTCCAAGTACAAAAAAATAAAATTAATTCTTATTTATGGACACACTAACATTTTCAAGTATGTAATGAGAATTTGCAAAAATTTCTTGCCTTCTTGGAGTATTATATAAGATTGTATTTATATCAGCCGTTTCTCCCAAGTAGAATACGATAAGATATTTCAAACTGTGGAAATAACTAAAATATAAACGAACCGTTTCTATTTTAGTCAGCTGTCTTATTTTTTTAACCGCGAAGTGTTCTGAGTTCAGCCAGCTTATCAATATGGAGCCCACTGTAGTTTGGTATCAATAGTTATGCCAAGGAATACACACGAGTCAGTAGGGTCAATGTTTCAGATTTGGAGTTGAAAATTTCATTTATTTAGTTTTTTGTATTGTATAATACTTAGTAAACTGTTAGCATTAAACCAATGCACTATAGTGGATACAGTATTATTAACATTGTCATAATTTAATTCACGTCGCTTTACTTTAAAAACTAAAGAAGTATCACCACCAAACAATAGTATGTTATGATTATGATTAAGGAGATAAGGCAAGTCATTTATATAGATGTGGGCCCAAGAACAGAGTCCTGGTAAATATGTGGGACCCACATATTTACCAGGGCCCCGGGATATCTCTTGCCTTTCACACCAACTCTCTGAATTCGATGGCTCAGATACGATGTCAGAAGTTTGAGTGCGGCGCTTCATATACCGCAGTGTTGTAGTTTCTTGACCAGAGTCTGATGCTGTACACAATCAAAAGTTTTGGTTAAGTTTCAGAATGTACCTAAGGCATCCTGCGGCTTTTCTCAGGCTTCAAAAATAATTCTTAAAAAGCTGGATACCTGCATCTGTTGTTGAGCAACCATAATAAACCCTTATTGCTTGTATCTTACTACTTTACCCATACAGTATATTATGTAAACTAAAATGCAGTGACATTTTCAATATATATATATATATATATATATATATATATATATTTAATTTTATAAAGGATTGACAGTACAGAGATAGGTCTAAAATCATTGGGGTCCCACTCTAGCAAAAGCCCACTCTGTACAGATGGAATTAGAGCATAGTTCACCAGGCGATCCCACCGTGGATTGGCAGACTTCTCTAGACTATCTTCGAAATATTCTTTTTGCTATTATTTCCAAAATATGGAGCTTTACTCAGCATATTTTCCCGCGCCGCTGAATACCAGATAAGACAGCAAATTGTAAACAATTTTATTGGTGCCGAAACGAAAAACATCGAAACTCATATTCTGGCTTGTTATGGCACTTATATTCCAGGGAGATCCAATCAAGGAAATTGTCATTTACAATATAGTTACAAAAGTAAACCTTTAAATTTAACCCAACATATTCTTAACATAATTATTGTTCACATAGTTACAATGCAAGAAATGTCGTTCGACCCCAAGATAATTACGTAGAAGAGAAGTTATCTCCCGTTACTGATTATATGAATTGTTACGTATTTATAAGCAAAATGATTTCTTGTTTCTACACAGTTCTTATTACAGATAAAAAAATTGCAAAGGCGATACCTAACGCAGCATTATAATTATTAAATATATAAATGTAATTATATTTTCTCTATAGGTAAAGGTTATCTTTCGTTTAAACTTTTCAATTCCTTTCCAAAAATTCCTCAACAGTGACTATAATGGCTGTCAAACATATTAGATTCATCTACCATGGGTTTAAAATTATAAATGAATAAAATAAAAGAAGCAAATGCATGGAATACTTTATTATACACTAATAACACTACTACAAGCATAGTAAAATTGTAAGTTACAATATTGAGTATAGGTGAGATGGTTAAAAAATTTGGCACCATTGCGTGATTAGAGAGGGCGATGATGAGATAAATAGGCTGACGGTCTGTTAGCTCCTACTAGGGCTTGGCGGCTGGAATTGGGTTCTGCGCCTGGACGGGCGGCGCTTGGCCCTGGCTCTGGCCTTGACCTTGAACCTGCCCCTGAGCTTGGCTAGGCGTTTGCTGCGCGTAGCCTTGGTTCTGGACAGGCGGCGTCTGGCCGACGGGGGCGTCACGTTGCACCTGACCCGGTTGCCCCTGGTTCGGGTTCACGTTCGGGGCCGGCTGGTTCTGGTTCTGGGGAGGCGGCTGTTGGCCCTGAGATTGCGGTTGCTGCGGCTGTTGACCTTGAAACTGCGGTTGTTGGCCTTGAAACTGCGCCTGCTGCGGCTGTTGACCTTGAAACTGCCCCTGGTACTGCGCCTGCTGCGGTTGGCCTTGATACTGTGCCTGCGCTTGTTGCCCTTGGAATTGCGGCTGTTGGTATTGGGCCTGGTAGCCCTGCTGGTAGCCCGGCGGCGCCTGGCCTGGAGCGTATTGGGGCGGCAGTTGGCCTTGCGGGTGGCCCTGGTACTGCTGGGGCTGGTAGCCCTGCTGCTGCTGCGCGTGGTGCTGCGCCTGTTGTTGGTACGCCTGGTTGATCTGGTGCTGGGCGCCCGGCACGGGCCTACCGTGGGCGTCCACCTGGGGGGGAAGGAGATTTGAAGGGCACGGATTCCTTCGATTAAACGGTTATAAATATGAGGGGAAGAGGGCTATCCTATGTTGTTCCAATCAGGTGAGAGTCAACTTTTAATAAAAAGTCAACTTTTAAGCATGTTCATATAAGTATGTTTATAGAGTGGTTGTTAGTGTATAAGATTCATATATTAAGGTTTCATTGTGTATGTATTGTATTGTATTGTATTGTATTGTATTGTATTGTATTGTATTGTATTGTATTGTATTGTATTCATAAAAAATGATAAATTAAACAATAAGAAAAAACAACTACTTTGTGAAGTGAAAAGTTAGTTGATGGCTATATAGCAAGAGTGGGATAAGTTAGTTATAATTTATTCCGCTTTTAATATTATTTCACTTTACTGGTTTTAATCTACAAATCATGTATATTTTGGCATTTTAAGTACAGGCATTTTAATCAAATGTGGGGAAATTGACTTGAATAAATAAAAACTAAACCTACCAGCCCACGCTGCTGCAGGTATCTCAGTTCTTCAAGTCTTCTTCTCTCGAACTCCTCGTATTCGGTTTGGGTGTAAATTTGATTTTCGTCGATCGGTTTCCAACCTAAGCAAGATTTTGATTCTATAGAGTAAGTTTCTACGTAGTGAGTACTATTACTCACAGAGTTAAGATAATAGCCTATATATGTCCCAGAGCTAGACAAAGGCCTCTGTGCAGAGGGTATTAGGGTATAATCCACTAGCATTGCGGATAAAATCTATGTTTTCCTTCACCGCTGAGCACGTTATAAGCCCGCAATTAAAATAAATAATTTCATTGGCGCTCACAACGGGGATTGAACTCAGGTTGCTGGAGTATATGAATTAAATGCGAGCGCCCGGACACGGATCACGGCTCTTCTATAGTCTATGTAGAGTATATATAAGTGTAAAACGCCATATTTCTTTTAATTCAGATCGATACTAGGATGTGCTAAAGGTATAACACGAAAAATTGTGAGCCTCCATCGAGGTTCACCGTGGTAGGGCCACGCAACAGTCTTGTTGTGTAGCCCTACCACCTAGTCTGTTGTGCGAGTTGGCTGGTGCGTTCAGGAAATACCAAGACCTCAAAGGGCGCGAAGTGGAAGTGTTATACTTCTGCTTTTCGTCCGGCGAGTGAGGTCCCCGTGGCGCCGCCGAAGTGTGCAGGTATCCCATTATTCGATCTTGCATGTGGGTATATGGTAAAAGATAACTTGGGAACGGAAACACAGAATAAAGTCAGCCTTGTTTCACCCGTGCTCCATCATTAACGTGTCCAATTAGCCCAACACAAAAAGATGGTGACGCCTCTCTCACCCTCGTCCTGATTGAAGTCCGCGCGCTGCGTCTCCATCATGAACTCGTGGAAGTCTATCAGGCCGTCGCGGTTCCTGTCGTTCTCGCTGAACACGTGCTCGCGCATCCTCTCCATCTCCTCGGCGCGCTCGTTCCTGTCCTTGTTGGGGCCGCCGGGGCCGTACACCTTGTCCAGCTCCTTTATGAAGAGCGCCTTCACCTCGTCCGCGTCCCACACGCCGTTGCCGTCCACGTCTGGACACAGGCGAGTGCAGTGGTGAAGCGAGTGCAGTCGTGACGCGAGTGCAGTCGTGACGCGAGTTCAGTCGTGACGCGAGTTCAGTCGTGACGCGAGTGCAGTCGTGACGCGAGTTCAGTCGTGACGCGAGTGCAGTCGTGACGCGAGTGCAGTCGTGACGCGAGTTCAGTCGTGACGCGAGTGCAGTCGTGACGCGAGTTCAGTTGTGACGCGAGTGCACTCGTGACGCGCGCACAGTAACGGACATCGTGGTAGCGCGGGCTCGTCCGGTTATGTACCACGACCTCGCAGAAGACCGGCGTAAAGTGGAAGTATGAAAAATACTTTCGCGTTTCGTCTGGTGAGTGAGGTAGCCGGAGCCCAATTTTCAAAAGGTTGTCAACGCGTCTGTAACCCTCGGGTGTAGCAGATGCCCATTGGGGACGGTATTCACTTAACATCAAAAACCGCCTGCTCGCTCGTCAACTTTTCACATAAAAAAAAAGGCACGAAGGCAGAAGACACAACTTGCCATGTCATTTTCCCGAACCATGAACCACCGCGATGAATGTTGACGTTGGGAGAATACAGTGCAAGTATCAGACGTTTCACCGTAAGAAAACTTATTTTATAACATGTCGCCTTTTTAAAGTTACATATCAAAAGTTATTAGATGCAAGCCACAAAACTTTTGTGATAAATCAATGGTGATTTCTGAAAAGCCGCGTGTAAAAAAAAGACACAAACTTCTACGTGTTAAGATTTATCTTGTTAAGGTCCATAGTTTTGAAATTATGATTCTTCTGGTGTAAATTTTTTATTTCCTAAGTTTTCTTACTTCGAATGTGTCCCGGAAAAGGCATTCTTTCTGTTGCGATGGACGGATATGCAACCAAACATACCCGAAGACTTGATTGATCACAGACATCACGTTAACATGACCCAAATTTGTCTAGTCACACAAACACTAAATAATGCACGCAGCGTCACTACAAATATTATCCCTTTATCGTATTAAGTAATTTGAGGTTGACGTGATCTTCACACATTTATTTATTGCCGTCCTTGGCTTACAGTTACCTAATATTCTTGCTATAGTTATTTTCGTGTTAATGCTTAACTAATGCTTCATTCGTATCTAAGTTGATTACAATCGGAATGTTATCTACGTGTGACTTTACAAACAATCAATCATACAATAATTGCATTATTATCGGTTACCGGTGTTCAAAACAGATATACAAATAAACTTTTTTAATAATACTTGAAGCGTTTAACAGCTAATTAATTTTACGAGGCTATCTCTACTTAGAAGATAACATTATATTTAAATTAAATAATACCTAAATAATTATGAACAACGTGACAATCTAAGTCTAGGTAAGTCATAAAGCTCATCACAACAAAACGAACACAACACAAGCATGCAAACGAATTAAACAAAACGCATACAGAACTACATCACAGACAATCATGTTTTTGAGCTCTGAGAAAATAAACAATTTATAAAAGCACTTCGTAAAATCCAAAGAGCGTGCGAGCAAGACAAAACATCTAGTTGGCAAAGCGGAATTCTCGTATTTCTGATTTTCACACAAATCAACATAATGATACAGTACGCATATTCATAAACTTCGCATATTACAAATAATACATGCCTAATGACTATCGATATTGTCAATTTAAATACTTGCCAGATTGGCAACTGGAGAAAGAATTACTAAAACTTATAACTGGCTACGTGTACTTTGCGGAAAGGACTGATGGAGTAATTTTAAAATTCATTCAACGCACCAAAAATCGAGAACACCAGTTCGCCACAAACGCAAAAACTATCTAAGATAACTCGTATGACTAGCAAACCCAAACTAGCTAAACGAAAATCAATACAGGCACGCTATGGATCTTACCATGCATCATGAAAAACGTTTTCGGGTCAAAATCTCTAGTATCCATTTTGTCGCCGTTTTTCCAGATTTCTAACAACTGTTCCCTTGTCACTGGATGGTGTAGCTGTCACAGATAATAAACGGAGAAGTTAATGGCGTCGCGCGCTGCCACTCACCGTGCATCATGAAGAAGGCTTTGGGGTCAAACTGTTGGTCCATATGGTCCTGCTTTTCCCACACCTCCTCCAATTGTTGCTTAGAACCGGGATGGTGGAGCTGCGTTTACACAATAGCTGTTACGTTTAACAAACGGCTGCGGCTCAAAAGAAATGAAATATTCATTCACAATATTGTCGAATCCATATAAATCTTAAAGGTTTGTGTGTGTATGGGTGTGTGCGTGCGTGCGTGCGTGCGTGGGTGCGTGCGTGAGTGCGTGCGTGAGTGCGTGCGTGCGTGCGTGCGTGCGTGCGTGCGTGCGCGTGCGTGTGTGTGTGTGTGTGTGTGTGTGTGTGTGTGTTTGTGTGTGTGTGTGTGTGTACGTACGTACGTGCATGCGATCATACTGCTTTTCGTTACATTCGTAATGAATTGGCCAATTAAAATGTAAAATTATAGAGCCTCGGTGAATTTCTAGAATTCATTTTGTTATTAAATCGATGTAACGCCGTCGAAAGTTCGATAAGAGAGAAACGCAAACAAGTTATACCCAGGAAAGTCATTATGTATCAAATGACTCATTTTGTAAACATATTGCGTAACATCATCACGATGACGTCAATTGTAAGAACTATGCAAAAGTTTTCACGTAAACATTATTGTTAATTCGTAACGCCCCAAGGAAATTTTAAGTGTTGTGATGTTGGATGGATGTGTGGGAGGCGTGTTCTGTGGGTATGCATAATGCGGGTGCACGTATGTAATAACAAAATTATATATATGCAGTAGTTAGTTTGCTTTGAAAACAAAATCGAACATATAATAATAATTACGCGCGCACCCTTGGAAATCAGTCAGCAATTATCTTGAGTCAAGTTATTTCGTTAAGGTCATTCACATTGCTCATTCTCATTCTCGGTCTTATTAATCACATAAGACATAATCAAAGTTAAAAGTGATGTCCCTGAATTGAGAGAGACAAATATAAGAATGTAAATAATGTTACTTCTTCAAGATTTTTATTAAGTCTTTAATGAAGATGGAAAGTAAATTGATGTTAAGATGAATAATTGATAACATATAAAATACTTTAATATTGTTTTTACTTTTTGACGGTGAATGTCTTTTGTGACTCACATTTACTGAAGGAACATGTTAATGATAGTGCTTGTCATAAGCAGATCTTTGGCCAGTCCTCACTTCCTATTCAAATTAATAAATGTAGGTACAAATATATGTGATACAGGCTGATTCAGAATGCATTGTTTTGTCATAAAAATGTTTGGAACAGACCACCCTTATCACTTAGGTGTATAAAAAATAGGTTATGTCCCATTATCAGACCTACCAAATATACATATGACATTTCATAAAAATCGATAAAGATCATATTTATGATATTTTTATGCACTCACAGGCTGATGATGTTTCTTTGCGTCTTCCTCCTTCTTCATCTTTTCCATGTAATCTTTCTTCTGCGCCTCATCCATCGCCTCAAGTTTCTGGTGCTTTTCAAACTCTTTCTGCATTTCGTACTCCTGGAAAATTATCACATAAACCATTGTGTTTGATTGTACAATTCTATACAAATATTTAACATCAAAAAGGTGATTTGTCCATGCGCTAATACAAACTATTAAACGGGTAATTTGGTAAAGCATTAATTAAATATATAGAAACGGATATAATTAAAAATTTCTTTTTGTAGCTCATTACTTGGTGATTTTAAATTGTACTTTAAACTATTTTTGATCATTATTTATCACATTTAATTATATGTATTAAGTCCCTTCAAATTTCAGTATTGACTTAGTGCAAATTTATTTATTGTTTAATACAATACACATATTATAAAGTTATGAGTTGTGAACGCAGATTCATGCACATATGGGTATTACACATTAAGGGGTACCCAAAAACGTCATCTCATTCCATAATGGTATCTAAAGGTGGTAACATCGAAGCCTTAACAAGTGCGCCAACTTAATAATGAATCTTTAAAAATTCCATGAAGTAAATGAAGATACAGTTTTTATCTTGTTTCTAGACATATCTTGCTCTGGGCAAACTAGACTTGACTGATTATTGTCATTTTGCATGAGCTACTTGGGTTACAGTCACCAATAGTCCTTTCTCACCTTGAACTGTTCCTTCCTCTGTTTGTCAGCTGCCTCCAAGTCCGATGTGGTTTTCTTGATAAGTTTCTTGAGGTCTTCAATTTCAAATGTGTGCGGATTTGCGTGGTCCAAATGCTCATTCGAAGGAACTTTGTCAGTGTTGATTTCCAATTCATTGGTCAGTTCAAATTGCTGGGAAAATAATGTTATGAAAAATTTTTTTAATACTTTATATTTAACGATATTTTATGACTTTTTAAAACAAAGTCAATACTACAAAATTTAAAAATATGTAGGTTACATATTAGGCACATAAAATAACAATATTTAACTGTTGCAAATTAACAACAAGTGAGTGATCACTTCAGTTGTTATAACAATTTATTGTTAACATTATATAAATTATTTTATCCTTAAATCTGTTACAAAAAAAAATTAAATAGGATAATCTCTGTGCAGTTAAATATTGATATAAATTAGAATCTTTGAAACTCTGAATCTTAAAACACGTTTATAATTGTTCTTAAGTATGGCAAAACAAATATCAAATTAGATTATTTTATTGAATTAATTAAAATTTATCAATATATTTATGGCATTATATTTATAACAGAATATACATAAGCATGTATAACAATTTCATTAAATTATTAATAATAAAAATATACAATATGTATGTGGTTTACATAAATTCATGGTACTTCTTAGTAACTGTTAGTAGTACAGTTAAATTATTAAAAACTCAAATTCTTTAATGTCAACAGACTTAAACCAAGGACTAATGTAAAGTATGATAAACAGGTTGTTATTGCTATGTTCTGTAGCCTTTAATTATACCTGATGTGTTAAAACCAGTTGACTACTGCCCTTGACTTTATTAATGTATTGTTCCTTAAAAACATTCATAAATTTTTTTTGCATAAACTCAAACATTTCCATTATAAGATTAAACAGATAGAAATCTACTTTTCAATTATCATAACTTGCACCAATTTCGCTTTTCTTTGATCTGATTTTTCTATTTTTCTCATGTTAACTCTTGCACAACTTCCAGTTTTGCAAGAGCATTAACAATATTTAACTGTTGCAAATTAACAACAAGTGAGTGATCACTTCAGTTGTTATAACAATTTATTGTTAACATTATATAAATTATTTTATCCTTAAATCTGTTACAAAAAAAAATTAAATAGGATAATCTCTGTGCAGTTAAATATTGATATAAATTAGAATCTTTGAAACTCTGAATCTTAAAACACGTTTATAATTGTTCTTAAGTATGGCAAAACAAATATCAAATTAGATTATTTTATTGAATTAATTAAAATTTATCAATATATTTATGGCATTATATTTATAACAGAATATACATAAGCATGTATAACAATTTCATTAAATTATTAATAATAAAAATATACAATATGTATGTGGTTTACATAAATTCATGGTACTTCTTAGTAACTGTTAGTAGTACAGTTAAATTATTAAAAACTCAAATTCTTTAATGTCAACAGACTTAAACCAAGGACTAATGTAAAGTATGATAAACAGGTTGTTATTGCTATGTTCTGTAGCCTTTAATTATACCTGATGTGTTAAAACCAGTTGACTACTGCCCTTGACTTTATTAATGTATTGTTCCTTAAAAACATTCATAAATTTTTTTGCATAAACTCAAACATTTCCATTATAAGATTAAACAGATAGAAATCTACTTTTCAATTATCATAACTTGCACCAATTTCGCTTTTCTTTGATCTGATTTTTCTATTTTTCTCATGTTAACTCTTGCACAACTTCCAGTTTTGCAAGAGCATTAAGTATATATATCAGGCAATCAGATAACACTGCTTACTTTTTCTTTATCTCTTCTATAAGCTATTTCATGTGCAATGTTAAGAAGACTAACAAAAACTGTTTTGGAATAATGTATGTTTGGTAATGTCAAAATACGAAACCTATCAGGGACTAAAGCCCAATTTCTAAAACACTGATCATCGTAGATGTCAACTAATCAGCTGTCAAATGGCTTTTCAAATTTCATATTAGTTGCCAAAAGGGTGGTTAACCTCTTTGAATTGATCATTCTGAGCATTAAGAAGATCATTCTGGTAATTTCAGAGCATTGAACCATTAATGAAATTTGAAAATGGCTGATTAGTTGACATCAACGTTGATTAGTGTTTCAGAAACCGGGCGTAAGAGGTTGACATTTACATAAAATACAACCATACACAAGTTTTGATAAACCAAAGAATAAAAAAATAACCATAGCAAATTAGTATACTGTAGTAAAATTAGGTAAAAAAATAAAATCCACATAATGAACCTACCTTTGTTGCCAAGTGACGGAGCCTGTCCAATTCCCGCCGTTTTATCTCATCCAACTTTGTTCTTATATTATGATTAACAAAATCCAATTGTTCCGCAATTTTACCTGACTGAAGAAGACAAAAAACGCCTTTAGTATACTAACTATTAGCTAAAGAAAAAAAAAGAACTATATCCTATAAATAGGAAAAAAGATTCTAATATTGTTTTATAACCAGAAAGTATGTATTAAATAAATAAATAATTTTGCTGTGGTAGGACCACGCAACAGTGTTCACTGTTGCATGAATGGGCAGATCTGTCTGGGTAAGTACCACAACCTCACAGAAGACCTGCATAGAGTAGAAGTGTTACACTTCTGCGTTTCGTCTGGTGGGTGAGGTAGCCGGGATCTATTTATAGGTGGCAATGCATTTGCAACCCCACGGGTGTTGCAAATGTCCATGGGCGGCGGTTATCACTTAACATCAGCTGAACCGCAAGTTCGTTTGCCACTTTGTCACATAAAAAAAAATATAGCTTACTCGAACATCTTCTTCATCTGCTTTCTCCAACCGTTCTCTAAAATCGGGATCACTTTCAAGTGCTTGAACCACCTCCTTTAGGTATCTATGATATTCCATATACTCCTCCTAGGAAAATGTTGATATAAGTATTATTTAATGGGTTCAAAGATCCACTTACTTTCTTTAAACTAAAGAAATAATCTTTAACACACTAATAACAAAGTAACAAAAAAATGTGTTTCAACTGATATAATATGTATATCAGTTGAAACACATTGAGCTTAGCTCAAGATTATGAATTGTATAAAATATATTGCTAAAGCAAGCAATTGCAACCACCACTATACAGATATATAGATTCACTTAGACTATTTTAGCTTTTGCATATTTAAAAGTCTGCTATTATAAACACTGTGGGAATATAGAATATTGTATTAAATAATAATTTATGACCATGAAATAACAATTGCCAATACACAAATGAGATAAACATAACCCATATTAATCTTAACATAATTATTTAAAAAAAGAACATCATCTGTATAAACTTAAATCATCATCTATATAAGGTAAATAATCAGAGAAAAAGGAAGTCATAAGCTAAAAGTTCATTTAACATTAATACATTTTGTTGAGTTTATGGTTTGATAAAAATAAATAAAATAAATATTAAAAAAATTATTTTATTCACACTTCATGAGCAGTGTAAGCAAAATAAAAAAAACAACTTATGAAGAGAAAATAATATAATTGTTTTATTTAATATTGAAGCCCACTTGCCCTTTGATTCATATTTTATAAAGTTGTTTATTCTTTAAATAATTAAAAATCAAAAAGAAATTACCAGGTCATCTTTGATTTCACTGTCTTGTTCCTTTGACTTATCTTGGGATACAGGGGGTGCATATGAACAATGTAATATCACCAGAAGACATATTACAGTCTCTATCACCTTCATTGTAGCCTCTGTAAGAAAAAATAATCGTAATATTTGTAATATACATAATGACACTTGATCCTTTAGTGTTTATAGTTTGGCTGACATCAGCTGAGTAGACTAGATCTCATACAATATTAGGATAACTCATCATAGTAATGATTTCTAACTAGACTGCACACTTAGGACTCATAACTCAGTTACTGATGGCAAATGAAGTGAGAGACATTGCTGCAAGCCCTTTAAAACAATACAAAATGGCAGCAATAATAATTGGCCACTACTCCGAAAGATTTCATCATTTTTATATAAATACCATTCCCAAATCCTGTTTTGAATTAATAATGACGCCAGTTTTGTTTCTAAGACGAATAATAAAAAATCATTAGGATAGACCTTTTCGCTAACGTCCGCTTTTTGAACTTGATATCAGTATGCATTAATATAAAGACGTTTCACGTCAAAAGAATCGACGAAAGTAATAATTTTGAATATAATAGTAAATGTAAGACATTATAATTAAATACACCATTATTTTTAGACGTCCCTATGTAATGGTCAAATTTTATTCATTTTTAAAAATTATTTTCCGAAGACAATTTTTAAAAAATTAAAGATAAAATTAGTAAGTCTAGAAGACGCGAAATAATTTAAATACTGAAAAAGTTGCGTTTCTATTTTGTAAATATATAGGTAATCTAAGAATTAACTATTGTTCTTACTGCCAATTATTTCTTACCTTAAGTATCTTTATTTCACCATGTAATTATAAACAGCGAATCGAAAGAAGAACGCAAACAACTTTTAATGAACGCCAGATTTCATTTGTGTTTGTGGGCATTGGTCTCTCTCTGGTCTTACTTTGCTACCATTGACGTGTCTCGGTAATAGTGTAAATGATAGATAAATAAAAACCCACAGAATACTAATACTCCACTCACCCAGGCTATAAGCCAATCAGTGCTGCCAACTAGGTTAATATGAAACATGAATTGCTGTTAAAAAACGCCAAAGATATGATACTGTGGCATGAAATGTGCCGAATACCATTAAATAAAACTCACAAATGTGCTCACTGTTAATTGTCTTGATCAGAAGGATTCTTACATAATTTCAATACCTTTTCACCGTTAGAACAATGTTATTGTTACTCCAAACAAGTTGACCGTTCCGTTGTGTTCTCTCAGTGGCGAGCGTGGAGGCAGAGGGAACTCCCCGGTCGCCGACCAATCAGAGGCGACTCGGTTGCAAAGGGCGAGTCGCGCGCTTTTGCGCGCTAAATTTAATATAGACACGGCGGTTGTTTTAATCCGTCATATCACCCCCCTAGGCAGAAAATTGAACTTAAAAAAAACGTAATAAAATCTTAACCTATACATAAACAAACAACATGCTTATAATCTATTATGAGAATGATGAAAGGAAGAGCAATTAAAGTAATTATAGGTTCAAACGGTCTTTAAAACGGACGCTACGACCTAAGCGAGTAGTGTAAGGAGGTGGTGCGGAGTGTTTAATACAAGCAGGAGGCACAGTTGGGACAACTGGAGTTGCAGCTGGAGTAGGCAAAGTAGGTGAGTTAACAGATCGAACTCCAGGTGCTGACGGTACCGAATTGTCTAGGATATATGCCGGTTTTATACGGTCAAGACTCACATGCGTGTTTTTGTCACCGACAGTGATAGTTATTGTCTTCTCCGTCCTAGACACTACCTTATGAGGTCCACTGTAGGGCGGCTTGAGAGGTGTGACTGTGTCATCTCTCAAGAAGACGTGTGTAGCAGTCAAAAGGGCCTTCGAAACGAAGACTGGCTGCTGACCTAAAATAGACGCGGCGGTTGTTTTAATCCGCCACAATACTTTTTTAATTAAATTCCAAATTAATTTTAAATTGTATTCAAAATATTTACAGAATCGCCGATATCTTGATCTACAATAGTGGAGGACTGAAGCCGAATTTACACATGGAGTCTATCGTATGCGAGCGGCAGTTTTTTGCTCAACAATAATCTATCGCCCAGTGTAAAAACCACGTGGGTCACAAATCGTTTGAATTTTACCATTCGATTTTTGAGAAAATAATTTTTTGTATTGGGTGCTACTACGTCATTTGAAAAAATAAAAACTGTACCAATCCTAAAAAACTGATCCAATAGTTAATAACGTATATATTCTGTTTAAGTAAACTGATTACGATAACTTTTTTTTGAGTGAACCAATTGCAATAAGACAAAGCTTTAATGTTGCATGCACCATACAAATTAGTCAAGTAGTTGGATAACTATGATTACTAACTGTTTGCGACTGGACTGCTTTAATCTTAGAACTCTCATATCTCCCGTTTGAGTGAACCAATTGAGATGAAACAATGCCTAGATGTTGCCCCAAGCTTCGCTTAAGTAACCAGTGAAAACTGTGTCAAAATGCGATAAGTAGTTTCCGAGTTTATCGCGCACATACAGACCGACAGACAAAAATTCCGAAAATGCTTTTTATTTTTCCCATAACTCTTTTTATGATACCGCATTTAATTTTTTCATAAATATATTCAATGTACAGACACGCCGATTCTACTCTTTTATTATAGTATAGAATTGATATAGATTTCGAGATTTATTAAGTAAAGTCGCTACTTCTTTCTCCTACACTTATCACACACTAGATGGGGTCGGCACATGTACATCATTTAGTTTCGGAACTATATTGTTTTTCAGTAATTGGCTTTTATTTTAGTTATTGGCTTTACTTTTAGACACACGATGGTATTTTTAATGTTTAAAAAATTTCCCAGTTGAGACGTTTTGGTAGCTTCACTTCGAGCGTGTTACCATATCTATTGTATAAAATATCATTGGTTGCAGTATTCAATAATAGTTAAGCTAAAAATAAAATCAATCATGATTCAAAAATTGGTAATAAAAGTAATAGTATACTTACTACTAAAATAAGGTATTGAAACTTAAAACACACTTAAAATTTGACTCATAAATATTTGATGAAGAGCACGACTAGAACTAGAAATGCTGATTTCTGAATATCTATTGCTGTGCTCAATCTGTCACAGACCAGTATCGGTTATAGGAATAAGTCATCCATTTTAGTAGATATTCGACCATTTCACAGCACCGCCTCCGTTTAAGGATTAACTTCCTATATCCTTCTAATCCCAATAAAATTTCATGATTCATTCCCAGGTGTACAACGACTTTGATATGACATCTTGTATTAACTGATGTTACGCTTTCAGTCCTTAGATTATTAAAGCTTCATGGAACGCAGAACCGGTGGTCTGAAGGCGAAGACGAAGTATGGGGTTTGTTGATGCACTGAGTGTGTAGTGTCATTTGGCGAACCCCCGACGGTGGTCCGACGTACTTAAGTCCCCTTCCTTGACCGGGTCGATGAGGACGTTGCGCGGGCGACGGTTGTTGACGTTCGCGTTAATGTCGGATTGGTAACTTTCTGCGCTTACTACCAGAGGGTACGGATGATGTTCGGCTTTAACACAGTATAGAAATGTGTGTAGTTAAAGGCGAAACTGTAGTTGCAGTTCTTAAATCTGATCTAATCCTCATCACTTTTTATTGGAATCAGGTCGAAAATCTCTACAGTATAAATCTCTCTGGTGTAGGACAGAGTTATGTGGGGTTATTTGAGTACCCGTCCGTACTGCACGAAAACTTTACATATATACTTTTTGCCTTTAAATATTAATATTTGTAGAAAAAGTACGAAAAGATTTTCGTACTTCTTCTACAAATGACGCTTTAGCCAGTAGCCACTAAACTAAACGGCTGATTGCCACACCGACAAAAATCTTAACGTCTTTTATCTACAGTTTTTTTAGCATTTGAAGCAATGCTTGGTGCATCCATTGTTATATCCTTTCCAGTATAGAAAAAATTATAAATATTATATTAGCGATAAAAATTTAAATATCTAAAAAGCAATGGCGACATTTCTCGTTCGAATTATCATTGTAGAGATATTCGAAATTGTTTATATTTATATTACCAAGTTATCGCCTATTTTGGCAAAACTAGGTGACAATCATTATCAGTCATGATCTGCCATATTTTGAATAAGATAATTAATCCACTATCTAAAATTAGTTCACTATGTTAGTCTGTTCAATTATGGTATAAACATGGAGAAAAAGTAAAATTTTTAATATTTTTATTTCTAGAAAATTTTTACTTATACAAAATTCTGAATATATCATAAATTTAATTTATTCTAAATAAAGTTACGATCAATATTATTAAGGTATACACATGTTGGTTTAATGATTAAATAAATTTAAAATCCTTATAGGTCCCAGCAAACATTTTAAACAATTGTCGTGCAGAAGTCGTTTTTTAAGTCTTTTAGGGCTATTGGAGGCTGGGAATGTTGACCAAGCAAGACAATGCAACTAATTGTACCAAAATGGACATGCACAAACTTTTCCCCACCAAGCCGCTTTGTACTCAAGTTATTTGCCAGGACTTATACCAACTTATCAATAATCAATCATATAACTATATATATTGATAGTAGGTTTTTTATAATTATTATCATCAACATACAATCAAAATATAACATACTTAAAACATTCAGTGCCCTAATTAAGTGACAATACTTAAATAAACTTTGTAACAAAAATATAACAAAATAATTAATATTTAATCATGATTTGTTTGGTATATAATAAAACGAAAAAAGTCTTTAATCACAACAAAATAGGCCTGTACTTTTCTTGAGAGAACTTGTCACATAAGGTATTTATGCTATGCACACTATAAATTAGAAACATTGCTTGGTTGCAATATTCCTAACTTCTTTAGATATTTAATTTCTTAAGAGAAAAAAATTGAAAATATGAAAATTTAAATTATGCCATTTAAAAAAATACAGTAAGTATACAATAGCTTTATGAATTGGAGTAAAAATACTAAAGTCATACAAGTTAAATGATTAGAAGAAATTATTATTCAAACTTTGTAAAATAATATACCATACTGTAGTATGGTTAGGTTATAGCATACTTATGTATAGCTTCTAATTCTACTTGATTATGTACCATTGGAAGAGTTTTACTAAGTAATCAATTTCTATATATTATTTTTCATAAAATGTCATTCAGTGATCTATCAAAAAATGTTTCTTAGGATTTAAAAAGGTATGAACCTACAAATGAAATGTGACACAATACAGCCGTAAAGTAATACATTCAAGTTATTATCTGATGTATTACTTTAATGTATAGCAACTGTATGGATAGATTAAATTAAATTTCATCGGAGTTTTGAAGTGTGATTAAACCTTGATATTCCATATCTTTATACATGATATCCTGATTTAATGTATGTAGAATATCTTGGAACCTCTGTCGCAAAGCCAAGTTCTCCATACCAGCAATTTCATGTTGGGTCCGTTGCCTACGCTGTTTCAATTCTTCCAATTCAGCTCGCAATTGATCAATTCTAAATTGCATATTATCCTTTGACATGTCACGAGAGGACTGATATTCTCCATCCTCCTCTGAAGATATACCACCACTCTTTGATACAACAGAAGCTGCAGGTGTTGCGGCACGACTGTGACTTTCAGATCTCTTTGATCTGTTCCTGCCCTGGAACATTTGTGACTCAAATTCTGTTGGGTATTCCTTTTTTGAACTGGTTTCACCTGTGGCATGCATAGAATTTGTGTCAGACAATCGGCTATCATATGGTGACAAATGGCTGTCTTCCATCTCAACATTAATATTGTCATCTTCACTATCACTTACAGCCCCACCAAAGATATCAACAACATTAGAAGATTCCGTGTTAGTTGTATCCGATGTTACAGTTTCTTTTTTTGAATTTCGGTCAGCCTTCGACTTGCGATCAGGTTTTGGTTGCGAAGAAGTACTTGGTTCTGGTTTAGGAAATTCATCTTCTTCTTTTACAACCTCCCATGTAACACTGACAGCTTCATTATCAGCTCGGAGAAGTCTTTTTACTTCTTTTTCAATCTCTGGTGCTTCTACATATTTTTTTTTCAAAGTTTTTCTAAAGCGCCTTTTTCGAACATTCTTCGTGGGAGGGGTAATTCCATGGGGCCATAAAAATTTTTTCTCCACTTTATATGGGTCTTTTTTCTTATTTTTTGCTGGCGATTCCTCCTCAAGTGCAGGTGTATCAGGTTCACTTTTACAAATCATCATTTGACAAATATCAGCAGTCTTGTAGAAACTTTTATTATCGATAGTTTTTAAGGATTCTATGATAGTAGGTAAGTCTACAATCTTAGCATGCATAAGCCAGTGGTCAAATCGCACTTCGCCGTGGCGCATGTCGTTGTCGATTTGAATAGTCAGTCGATTTTTGAGATTGTCTCCTGATTTCAGCAATTCTCTTAAGAGTTTAGCTGGTTCCTCAGGAAGCCGAAGCACAATTTGTGATTCAAGTTCCGCTGGATATTCCACATCCCTTTTATCTCTACTCATTTTTGCTGTGTTCGAAGAATTTGATATGGAATTGACAAAGTTCGATGATGTAGAATTATAGACACAATGACACAACACACAAGAAGACAGAGGCCAAAAAGCCAATTTAGGTTCTTAATTTTATCGATCGAATATAGTATTTTAGCGTCGGCGCTGTCAGCCCAGAGAGAATTTAAATACGTTGAAGAGACGGGACTTCTATACCAATACCATAATACTAGCTAGGCATGAGATATACCTGCAATATTCTATACCCGGCCTCAAAGGTACGGGTATCGCCGTATACCCGGTGCTAAAACCCAGTATCAAAATACTTATAGGTATTAGTTATGTTCAGGCCTCCTTTTGGAGACGCGGTCGAATCAAACGAATTGAACCTTTGGTTGGAATTGGAACATTTAAATGTTTTTTTTAGCAATCAGTTTTTTAAAATTGAGATTTAATCAGTCTAAAATAAGCTCCATCTTTACTAACGTAAAGAACCCTATTATCAAAAAAAAAGTAATTCAATTTTTTTATTAATTAATTTAATAATAAATTAATCAATTTAATTAATTAAATAATTTATTTAACTTATGGTCATAGAAACAAAGAATAAATTTATCTCAAGGAGTTATTTGGTATAAAATGCCTAAATCATACGTTTCAATTCGGGCATGATCGGGAAGAGCCGCCGTAAGCATTCGGGGAACTTCGTACCTATTCGGCCGGCGGGTTGTCGCGAGCGTATATACCGCCACCGTCGAACGAGGCGGCCATAGCCATACCTATCGGTGCGGGTATGGAACGGGCCTCTGCCGTACATACGTCATACCCGGTGTGCGGGCGGGTTGTCGCGAGCGTATATACCGCCACCGTCGGACGAGGCGGCAATACCTATCGGGTATGGAACGGCCCTCTGCCGTACATACCCGGTGTGCGTACTGGTATGTTCATACTGGGTATTTATACCTGTTCCAGTATATACGCCTCATCCCTAATACTAGCAAAAAATATTAGTTTACGGTAGTAGTGGGTGGGCGATATAAATCGACATTTCAAATAATATCGGTACATGTACGCGATATCGAATGTAATATCGATATATTTCATCCGATATACCAAATATCGTGTCACATTCCATTTTGTTCTTTATGTCTACTTAATCTCTAAGACTTATTCCTTTAAATCTGCAACATTTTCAGATGAATTATCGCTTTATTTGAGGGTTCCAGTCAGTAGATTTAAAGAAAACCGATTAGAAGTGTGGGCAGACTATAAATTACAGTTCCCAACGTTATACAATGTGTCTTTTAAATATTTAACTATGGTGGCTAGCTCAGTTCCATCTGAACGACTTTTCTCAAAAGCAGCACAAGTTCTTACACAGCAAAGAAGCAAATTGCAAGCCAAAATGGTAAATAAAATTTTGTTTTTGCAACGTTTAGAGAAAAAGTACTGGGATTTATATATCTTATGATAGATTGGTATGGTATAGAAGAAAAAGCTGCTATTCTTTATGTGCTAAACATGGCTTTTGGGTCGTATGGCCATATCTTCTCACTAAATTGTTTTTACTCATAATTAACCTGATCCATATTTATTAAATAGGGAGCAGGTTAATTATTATAGACTAGTTAAATACAAGTAATTACTTAAGATATTTTTAAAATATCGACATATTTGTTCGATATATCGCAAACTATACAACACTACGATATATATCGAAAAAATATCGATTTTTTTTACATGAACATCCCTAGTTTACGGTTAAGCGGCACTCCAATACCAACCATACCACAAAAATACCACAAAGATGTCAAACAACAGGAGTACCAACGTAACGGTACAAATAGTGCTTAAGCAATTAGCTTAGCTTCTTATTGATATCGATAAAATATACTAGGTAGAAACCGAGGTTTCCACTTAATATTTTTTTTTTAATTTTAGGTAAGTATCGAGTCCGTATTTATATCCAATGTTGATGAGGGGATATTTGTTACTAATACAAGATTGGACTTAAATGCGGACCCGAAATAAGATAAAAACGGTTTCTGTTAACTGAAATAACATTTTATGACTGATATGAAATTTCTTTCATGTCTCTTGATTCTTCAGCCAACAGTTGTTGTCCTGCTGCACACAGGTCTGGAAAAAATTGAAACATAAAAATAGAATCAAAATCCAAAAATTATTTTAGTTTTCTTGCATACTCAGCGCATGAAATTAATTATATGGCGTATCAAAAAAATTATAGCGCTATGTTTCAAAATCTTTCAAAATTCATTCATTCATTCAAATATGTAAAACTTTGTGCCCCTACTCTTTCACGCAACATTTTATTTCTTATTTTTTTCAATGATAACGAACATAGTTATCGATATGTGAATATTACAGTTGCAGTACATCACTAACACACAATTTAAATGAGATTAATTTGTTAATTTGATTTGTTCTTAGCCTTATCTACTTACGGGCTTCATCTAAGGGAAATCTCGCCATAAATATACTTTTTTCAAGATCGACTTGAAGAACGACTTGCTAGATTTTCACCAATTTTACAGGTAATAAAAGACGTTAGGCATTTGGAATTAAAAGTACAATTCTGATCAACTGTCACTAGTTTTCGTGAGAAATTTTACTCTTAACAATGTAAATCTATAATGAAATAAGCATTTACATTCAAAATACGCGGTGCGAAAAGAAGTTTTGACAAACAACATGGCACTTCTCGTATTGCAAGAAAGAGAAACTGCATCGAGGGAGTGTGATAGCAATATCCGCCATTATTTGCCGCGTAAAGTCCATAGAAAAATTTTTTGTTCGTAGTTTCGCCAGACCGGCCGTCAATTACAAATTTCAACTAGACGAATACGAAGTTAGTGAGTCTATGGTCAACTATAGGGCATAGGGATATCAGTCAGCAGTGTTTCCAATTTAATGATTTCCTTTCCCCACGCCTCAATTCAAATTTCCCCTTCTCGGGGCTTTTAGTTTTTACTTTTGGCTTTAATGTAAAAAAAAGGTCTTTATCGATTTTTTCTATAACCTGCCCACCCGACTGGTGATACTATACTATGATAATATTATTTACACTTAATGCGTCATCAAAATCATTGACAAAAGGAGAATGACACAGTATAGAGCTTGGGCCACTTACAAATATTTTTGTGTCTGATTAGAAATGTTAGCTTAATATAAAGCTTGATAATTATATTTTCATAAACAAAAAAGTTTTCGGCTCGGAATCCCAGATTCAGAGAAAAACTATTATACATTGTCACTGTTTCTTTTTTACGGCAACACGCTAGTCCACGGTAAAGTCCATAAAAAAATAGTTCCGAAATTTACCGCTATATTTTAAGCTAGGTTTTACGCATGAATTCCCGCAATTTTCCCTTTTAATGTCTTCCCCTTTTTCTCCCCCTACGGACCCTAATTTCCCCTCAAATGGGGAATTTCCACTCATTTTGGAAACACTGTCAGTCAGTGTTAATAAGTTTACCAACTCGTGAAAGTATTGGTTCTTAAAGCTTAAGTCAATAACCCCTAAAACGAATATTATAAAAAAAAAATAATAAGTAATAAATAGCGCCATTTTTGCCTGGCCTGATTTCCAAATGAATAATATAAATACAGTAAAAGATATTGCAGCAAAAATGTTGGTCTTATAAAAAGTGTTTAAAGAAAAGTTGGAGGGAAATTAATTTTATAAGAAAATGGCTTCTTTAACAATATTTTACCGTTATTCCAATAATAAGATGCTTAATGAATAATACGAAATTTTATTTACTGTTATCCTTATTTCTACTCTCCATTTTTCAACTCCGAATGCTTAGTAATAAATATTCGTACATGGTACACGGTAGATTGCGTTACGCCAGGCCCTTTATTTTTATACCTTTATTTGTCTTAATTAAAAATAATATCAAATAAAAGATATGAAAAACATATAAAATCAAGGAAACTCTAAAAATATAACACCCCTAATAAAATCCCAACGCGTTTGTTTACTCCCTAAAGCGGGGAAAAGCTCTAAGTTGGCAACCCTGGATACGAAGTCGATTCCGCGTCGAGCGAGCTAGCGAGATGATTAATGAACGAGTCAGAGTGAGAAAGAAACATAACTATTCGCGCCATTCGACCTTGCCTTCCTCTAAATCAGTGTTGACAGATTGAAATTTTAAATCGACGCAAGTTGCTGTCCCGCTGATTATTTTGTTTGCTTTTTTATAATAATTCCGAATAATATTCTTATAATGCTTCATATGATTTTATAATATAAAAAGTGATTATTTATAAATATTAGATAATATAAAAATTAAAATGAAATCTATCTACATTTATGTAGCTAGATTTCATTTTAATTTTTTCTTTTGTTGTTGTTTTCATTGAATATAATAGTAAATATATGTAATTTTTCCTTATTTATTGTATTAAAGCTTAAACAGTTATTAAAAGTTCGAGGTGTAATGAAAAATATCCTGATCCGGTGCTCCGTTAAATAGACGCCAAGTCGAGCCAGATAGATTTCGAAATCATTTCAAGTCGATTTGATTGTCTCATCGCTATTATGGTTGTCTTCCAATAACAGTGTCAGTGGCTGATACACAAATAATACTTATAATGAAACACTAGTAAGACAATCGCAGCACTCAGAACAAATACCCATAAAAAACCTGAGAGTTGACGCGTTACTCAACAGCGGAACCGCCCACGTTTGCATTCACGCCCACTCAACCGGGAGCCTTGCTGGTACTACAATCGTTTTGGCGTCAGAGCAAGCAAATGCATGCCAGGATGCAGCTAGACAAATAAATTGGCTACCAATCCTTTAAACTAAGGGAGCGGTCGGTTGTGGCAAGTAATAACCGCGCACACTCCAGCAAACGCCTATTTATTATTGACCAGAATACCAGAATTAACTTTTTGATAAATACCGACTCGGACACTTGTGGTTTTCCACGATAACCAATAAATGGCAGCTCCATTAAAACTTACGGCACAGTTAATCTAAACCT